TTGCACAATGTGATTTCGATGTTGTTAACACGAGGATTGCCGCCTTGGATTGGGTACAAATACTTGACCAACCCACCATTGATGCCGCCGTCTTCGTATTCTACGACATAATCTATAAAGTAATCCAAGATACTGTTCCGGTGAAGACACGAAAATCTTGTTTGCAATTCCAACAACCTTGGTGGAATCCGCAATTGCGTAATCTGCGTAACCGTCTGCGTTAAGCTCGAAAACGTTACTTTCGTTCCCGGACCGCAGCAAACCAGTATACGGCGCAGCTAGTAGAAGCAGAGTATAATAGTTTGCAGGAAGCTCGTTTTCGTGAGTCCGTCGACAACCTCCAGAGGGGTTTCAAGGTCTTTTATCAACTCTCGGAAAAGATCAGCTGGTATTCCCGTGGACGTCACCTACGGTAGTAAAAGCTCCACCACCGACACCACTTCTGTTGACCTTTTCGCTGACTTTTTCCGAAGTGTTTTCGAACCCGATCAAACTCCTCCACCGCAATACATTGATCAGCTACCAAAATACGACATTAACCTGCAGCAGCTCATCTTCAGTCAAGACGCTATTCTCAAAGCCCTTTGCTCAGTCGATCCATCGAAAGGTCCAGGCCCAGACCGTATTCCACCGTCTTTCGTCAAGAACTGTTGCAGCATCGTTGGCCACTCCCGTTATGTCTATTTTCTATCGATAAGCGATGGCGTTTTTCCGGATGCCTGGAAGCTTGCCTCAATTACACCAATCTTCAAGTCCGGTAACATGCACAAAGTGGAAAATTACCGACCTATCTCGATCCTGAACTGCTTGGCTAAAGTTCTCGAAAGTCTTCTGCATGAGAAGTTGTATCCAACTGTTCAACCCATAACCTCAGAGTTTCAGCATGGATTCATGAAAAAGCGCTCGACAGTCTCTAACTTGATGACTTACACGCACACTCTTATAGGTAGCATCGAGAAGCGTCAGCAAGTGGACTCCGTATCTCATTCCGTGCTTCACCGGCAATTTCTTTCCGTAGATCGTTCTTGGTTGGTGCAAACATGATTCTGCCTTTTCCGGGTTTTTCTTGTTTTCCGAGGGAGATAAATCCGTACTAATTTCTGTTCCTGGTTCGATAATGACACCTTCCTTGCAGGTTGGTGTGGTCGGTATTTAAGCCATATTACGACTAGGTATATGGCTACTTGGGTACTCATATGGCCGTCAGAATGGCTCATCGGTTGCGAAGTGAAGCATTTCTGAAAGTGACGCGTTATATTTCTCAATGCTTCGATTTTATCCCAACGTTACCTCAATGTTATATCACAGACAAACAGACACAACACATTGAACATTTATCATTGTATACCCTACCGCCATCTGTCGTATACACTGCGATGGGCAATACACTCAACAGACGGCTGCAGTGTGTAAACGTCAAACGCAAGGGAATTAATTATGTGCACCACAAGTGGTGGTACTACCTACTAAAGAAACATTCAAACTGACGCAGACGTAGCACTCTTAAGATGTTCATCGAAATCGCTTTTAACAAATCAACCGCAGTTGTTTGCTTGTGTACGAAAATCAAGCGTGACATTGTTCTTTGGTGAGATTTTTTGATTCTGATCACACTCATTGGAACATTTTGCGAAATTTTTCTAAGCCCGATCCGTGAATACTAGGTCCGCTACCTGTCAAAAACTTGGAACATTTTTGCATAGCACACTGGAATCATTCGAACCGAGCACAATCGGTAGAATATGTTTGTGTTGTGTTGAGAAAAACCATCCACACGCACACTCACGGGTGACTTATGACCCTATTTGCCACCAGAACCACGATCGACACCAACAATGACACCCACTTTACTAGCTCTGTCTCCCTGCGCCGAAGGACCTACATACATCACTCGGGAGAGCAGAGCAGAGCCAGCGCTTATATTTTATGTAAATAGGCCAATCTAATAAAGTGCTAATGATATGGTCGATTAGAATGGAAGGTTCTCTCGACGACTTTGGCTCTTTATATGTACATAAACGAGTACCATTTCTTCGGCTCCGACTTCTGCGGTTGATGGTGGTACACTCTCCTGCCATGGGTGATGATGATGATGATGATAATGCTGATGCCGATGGCTTCTCCCCCCTCCCCGAAGCTGATTACCATCCGTCGAGTGAAAGAATGAGTCTTCGAAGAAATGTGTTAATTTGGGAAACGTTGTCTGCTTTGTACCGAAAAGCCCCCCAGCAGCAGCAGCAGCAGCAACAACATCGCACGGTACAATACCTATACGTGTGGTTTTTCCAAACAGCACTTTTGTGAGACAGCGCGTACTGTGTTGTCATTTGGGCTCATTTAGGATAAAAATGACAGCAACCTCCCAGCACCAACCTCACCGCCGGAGCAATCACATAAATGGTAATGACACACGCAGATACAATGAAAGTAGCTGTGTTTTTCCATTTTCTCTGCTGTGTATTGTGGGACCCTCCCAAAGGGATCCCCAATCCAAGGCAGCAATACAATTAAAAGCAAATTGGCTGGCAGTGAAACGATTCTCGATTAAACAAACGACAGACATTTTGTGGGTGAGTAACTGGGTGACACAATTGTAAATGGTACTCGTTGTATACTGCCGTTCGAGTGTTAAGAACGATACTGGTGCAAAATTACAGTTAATTTTTCGTTTTCCTATGGACAACTTGAACCGTTACCCAAATGGAACTGTCGGCTGAAACGGACCTTATTTCTCTGACCAGTAGCCAGTGGCCACCTCAATCGTAAGGGGAAATGTGTGAAACGCCCCCGAAAAGTACAAGTCGTTTTGTTGAGTTGATAATAAGCCCGGGTCAGATTTTTATACGATACCGAACGACGGCCAACGGCTTGATAAAGGAATATCGTATTCAGGACATGTTTCGTTCCAGCTAACCTTTTTATCTCGGTGTCGTTTGCTGGCTTCCCTACATACACTCACTGCCCGAGTCACAGGAGACAAGGGGCCGCAGAAGTACTAAGGTTCCCAAACCCCTTTTTTGGTATGTGCACCGGCATGCATGTGTTTGTCGATAACAAGAAATACCAGAAACGGTTGAATGTGATTTCTTTTTTATTTCGTTTATTGATTGATTTATCAATCAGAGCTACGATAGGATCTTGTATCGTTTCACCGCGAGTCAGTCGGAATGGTCTGATTGACGTGGGGGGAAACGGATTAAGATAAATTATGGCTTGTTGGAAAGTTTGACTTACGAGTTGTTTGGTGAGGTTCGATGGGGATGGTTCAGCTCTTTGTTCTTTTGCTGCCGCAGTGCTAAGGTACAATTCACTGGACGAGCAGACAAAGCCAAGGCTTAAATTTAGTTCGATGAAATTTATTCCAAGATGGTTAATGAATTTACTATTCAATTAACCTAGGAAAGGTTATGTTTGGTTGGTCAATCGATTAGAACGAATTACCAATTTTGTGATTTGATTGAGCTATTACATTTGTTTCTGAGTATAACCTAATGCTATTAGTGAGGGCTTAGCAGCAATTAATGATTATCTAAGAGTAGTCTCGACGAGGTCAATTCTCCGCAATCCATACTTGTACATACCAAAAGTTTAGTTCATTTGGTTGCTATCACATACTGCAATGGCCTCTTGATGGTTTATAAGAGAATTACTATGAGAAAAGCAAACTTTTTAATCTCATCATCCAAGCCTTTCGCCATAATGGCAAAATTTTCTCAGCTACATCTTTGCTATCTGGAATAAGCTGTACATGTAGACATTTTTCACAGCTACATAAGGACCGATTTCGAAGACGATAACTTTCTGATTGGTTCGACGAGGAGTGTCAGATGGTTTTGGACGAGAAGAACGCATTGCGAGCGATGATGCTGCAGCAAGGGTTCCGTGAAAATTTGGAGAGATACAAACAGAAGAGATCTTTTTTTTTAACTTGCACAAAATTTCAATGCATCCTATCTATTCTTTCTATTCCCAACTTATCCCTTTTGCATACACACAAATTGTTAAGAAAGACGTGCAGCTTAGAAAAGAAGTGGAATTTCGGATCAGAAAGTGGCTCCACTTCATTGGCGAAGCTTCTGCCTGCAGTTAAGATAGGCAGCATGCTATGATAGTGTTAGTGTGCATAGAAAGCCCGTGTATAACGCTACCACGACGCATCGCTTGTTGAGCAGAAAAATGTACAACTTTTTTATTCACCGATTTGTTTCTGTTCTGTGCGTGCAATTTCTCGCAGTTTTCAGGCGGACCACGAAGCACTCTGCCATACTCACTGTCAGCAGGGTTGCCAAAACTACTTATAAATCTATGTTTCTACAGATTTCGCAGGGTATTTAAATCCAAGAATCTGTGTTCACAGATCACATATTTTTAAATTATGATCAAACATTCCAAAAGTAAACTTAAGTTGTTTAAAAAACACAACTTTTGTTTTCACTCAGAACAATTTCCTCATCATCTACTCTAATATCTACTCTGTTTTGTTTTTGAATGAAAAAGGAGAATGAGAACGGTCAGAATTACGTTTTTTTGCTGTTTCAATGGAAATTAATTATAAATACAATTATAACAGATATATGTCTCTATCCGAAAAATCACCTAATCACTTTCCTAAGAATATTTTCAAAGGATTCACTTGATAAACTCTTAATACAGATATCATCACAGATTTTCTGAACAAAAACTAAGATGAAAAGATTTTTTAGTTGTTGTTGTTGTTGTTGTTTATTACCGACACTTTACATCTGCTGATGCATTCATGTCTTTCAAAAATGTTACTGTACAGTGTGTTTTGTGTGGTGTTAGTGTTAGTTGATAAGTAATTTTATTTGTAATTTATTGATAGCATAACGAAAACCTGTCAGTAACAGAACCATAAATCAGGTCAAGGAAGCAACCATTTTGAATCAGTTTAGTGGGGAGTTAAGAATGAAATTAAAGTCTAAGTCTAAACATTTGACATTTCTTAAATCGACAGCTACTATTGGTATTAGCCTAGAGAATTAATCAGCTCTGTGGAGCGCCGCTTTAAGCGACGTGAGAGTCCGTTGCTGCCTTGTAGCTAGTGGTAGTGCGTTCCAGGTGGACGCTCCGAATATTAGAACACTTTTTCGGGAACTTGTGGTGTGATGCGGTGGGACAAAGGATCTAGCTCGCTTGTTCCGACCTTCAGGTGTGTACTGCCTGATGTACTCTGGGAGGCTTCTATGGTAGGCCCCGTACATGAAGCAGCAGATACGACGGTGGTAGTTTTCCGGCAGATCGCATCCGAGAATGGTGTGTCGCACTTCTCTGGTTGTGTCACGCCCTCGGATTTCATACACGAACTTCACCGACGACTTGAAGCATCGATGCAACTGAGCCTTGAGCGCGGTGGACAGTCCTGGGTAGTACACGACGTCGCAGTATGCGAAGAACGGCATCACCACAGCTTGGACGAGCTTCATACGAATCTGTCTGGAAAGCATTCCAAGGAAGCGCCTGAACGTACGAAGAGTATTGTAGATCTTTTTGGTGACTTCGTTTATCTGATCGGTCCATTTTAGGTTAGAGTCAATAATGGGACCAAGGTTGGTAACTTTGTTCGACAAAGTAATGGTTTCATCACAGAAGCGGATGTCATTTTGAGGGATTATGGCCCCATCTCTACAAAAGACTATAGCTTGCGTCTTCTTTGGATTGGGAAACAGACGATTCTCAGTGGCCCAACGTTCGATAGCAAGGAGATCCTGATTGATTGCTTCGATGAGCCTGTTAATTTCGCTTGCGGGGCCTGATATGTAGATTTGGAGGTCGTCCGCATAGAGGTGATACTCGCATTTTAGCACACCAGGCAGGCTGCTGATGTATAGGCTAAACAGCAGAATGCTCAGACAGGATCTTTGTGGCGTACCGTCGGTGAGATTCCGGGGATTCGAGGGAGTACCACCCAGGTCTACAACCTGACTTCGCTGATCCAGGAAAGATGAAATCTAATTACCATTACTGTGCACCTGTTATCGTCAAAGTTGTTGAGGATATCGTGAGCAACCTTGACTTGATCAGTCGTGGTACTGTGGTTTTTCCTGTATCCTGACTGGTGTTTGGCAAGCAGAGCGGGTGTGGATACATCGAGATGATCCGTTATTTGCGACAGTAGAATCTTCTCCAGTACCTTAGACACCGCAGGTAGGACACTAATGGGCCTGAAGTCCTTCGGTGAAGTAGGTTTCGATGATTTCGGTATCGGGGTAACGATGGCCTTTTTCCAGACGGAGGGGAAAGTTTGAACATCGATAATCGCATTGAACAGGTGAGTCAGGAGGGGGAGGATAAACGGGCAGAGCAGCTTGATAAATGAGATGGGGATTTCATCCGTCCCTTTAGCATTGGTCCCAATCTCGTAAATTTTCCTGGTGACTTCGTTGACGTTAGTGCGCCTGAACTGGAATTGGCCGTCGGCCACATTTGCGGGGGGTCACATGTGATGGCCTTCAGCAAAGAACTGTTTTAGTCGGTCAGCATCAAATTCCTCCATGGCCGCATTCTTCTTTGCATTGTTATGTATGCCCTCTCTCCTCAGGTTGCACCACAGCTGCTTAGCAGGAAGATCCATGCCAAACTGCGAATCAGCATACCTTTTCTTAGCAGCACCAATTAGGGTGCCGGTCCTACTTTTTTTTTTTTGGAGATGTAGTCTCGCCATTGAGCATCTCCTCTGACACGATTCGGATTTCGCACATAGAGAGAATACACACTACGAAAAAGTCATGTAAATTTCCGTGCCCTGAGACCGACACATGCAAGCGGCCCAAATGACATAAGAATCAGTTGAAAGAAACGAGAAAATCAAGTCAAGTTGCGTATGCTTCGGTTTAGGAACACTTAATTTTACATGACATGTTTGTTTACGTTCCATAATTTACGTCAAAGATGGATTACGTCTCATGTAAAAATAGTTATTTCTAAGTGTGTAGGCTAGGTCCCGTAAGGTGATTCCAGTCTGGATTTCGTTCGTTATCCATGGCGTGCGTTTGTCACGAACACTAATTATCCGCTCCGGAGCATGCTGGTTCAAAAGCGAATAAACTTTGCTAGTGAGTAGTTGTGTTTTGATGTCAATGTCTTCTTCTTGGTAGATGTGCTGTAGGTCCTTTGTCTGGAAATCAGCTTGCAGCCGTAGGGGATCTATCCTACCGAGATTCCGTATTTTCATACGACGAGGTGGAGCTTCAGGTTCACACTTAGCTTCTTTACTGCTTCGGTCCAGATTTCATCGCTTCAGATACTGCTGTATCTTTTTTTCCTTGCTTCGTTCCACTACCTATTCATCACTGCTTCTTGGATTTCCATCCGCTTCAATCTTCTTTTGATACCCGGTTTCACCACCATCTTCTTCATCCGTGTGTGTGCCTTTCTCTTTTCTTTCACCCCTTTTCGTTTTGCTACGCGCTCTACTTCATCCTCTACATAATCGTCTTCTTCTCCATCTTCTTCTGCTTTCTTCACATCATCTTTTGTCATCTTCATCAGGTTCCATTTTTGCCCTTAGGTAGCGGCAACTTTTCTCCTTCGTCTTCTTGATTTTCTTTCGTTCTTCACTTGATCTTTTGCTTCACTTGATCGTGTGTCAGCCTGGTATGGCCGATACGCAAACGAGTGAGTACTCGCTGGTCGGCAGAACTTTTCTGATCGATCCACTTTTTCGTGTCACGTTTTATCTCCTTCAGCTTGACTTCTGTAAGTTTCGTCCATCGTGCCTCCCACTGTTGACGGACGGCTTGGTTCATTGCTTTAATGGCATCTTTTCCTGGAATACCGATATTCATTGGCGGATTATTTCGTGCTTCTCCGGCGAGTCAGTCCGCTTCTTCGTTGCCACGGATGCCGGCGTGACCGGGAACCCAACACAAGTGAATCAGACGGTTTCGAAGCAGACATTCAATTTCTTGGATCCAGGGATGCTGCGATTTGCCACTCTCTATTGCTGAAAGACAGCTAGCCGAATCGGACAGCCAATTTGATCGCATAGGCCTCCGCTGAAAAAAACGCTACATTGTGACGGAAGGCCTATTACTCTCTGCACGCTGCCGCTGAATACTCCTGCTCCTACTCTGTCTTCACACCTAGAACCGTCGGTATAGATAGCCGTAGCACGGTGAAACCGGTTTGCCAGCTACTCCTGAATGATGGGACTCACTGTATCTGGCGGATCTCCCGCTTTCATCTGTCGTTTCACGTCCCAAACAATGCGTGGCTGGGGAGCATGCCACACTCGATTGGCGAAACGTGTCCGTACATCGATGATCGGAAAATTTTTATCAACCGCCGCCAGACGATCGAATACACATGGAAGACTGGAAGGTCGACATTTCTGTGATCCTTTTCCAGCAAGCGAATCGAGCTGTAGCTTGAAAAATCAGGAGAGATCGAACGGTAATGTGCCCGCTTCAGCCATGATCGCTGGAATCGGGCTGGTGACGTCCGCTCCTGAGGCGAACCGGACCATCCGATTGTAGATGGGTGCGAGAGTTTGACAAGTCCGATGCCGTAAAGAATGCGTGACGTGACAATTGCCGATCCTATGCACAGAAGGGATTCTCGTTGCCCTCGTGGAAGTTTAGCCCCAATTATTTTAAAAATTCGCAGCCTTGAGTCGCATGTAGTTTTCACAGTCTTACAATGCTGTTTGAAAGTCAGTGACCGGTCGAGGGTGACAACGATGACTTTCAAACGATTCGCCTTCGGTACAACTACACGATCGATGCTGATATTGCTGCTAGGTTCTCGACGGGCGTTGAGACTGCCGTAGAAGATGTTCGATTTCGTAGCTGATATTTTGCCCACTTATCGACAACTTTCACCGCGGCTTGTAGATCGCGATAGAGCGGTCGTTCCTTATTTCTCCGTACCACCAGCAATATATCGTCCGCATATAAGAGCACGGTGACAGTATGTGGCACCACTCTGAAGATTGGCTGCATCGCGACGAGGAACAACGTGACCGACAGCACTGACCCTTGGGGAACTTCGTTTTCCAATAGCATTTCAATCGATGCACTCGGAATTTTCTGTCAGCGAGGAAACTGTTCAACACATTGAACATCCGCCCACCTATCTGCCACTTCCGCAGAGTGCGTAAAATGCCGTATCTCCATGTGGTATCATATGCCTTCGATGTGTCGAGTGATGCTATCAAGCAGTGTTCATCACGATTGGGAAGCGACCTATCCAACTCCGCCATGTACGTTTCAACCCCGCGTCCAGCTCTAAAAGCGTTCTACCTTTTGTCTAATCGTCCTATTGACTCCAACTCCGTCATCAATCTACGATTCACCATGCGCTCGAACATCTTCGCGATACAGTTGGTCAGAGTGATAGGTCGGAAAGCTGCAGGACCAGACTCAGATGAATGCGGCTTCGGAATCGGCACTATTATTCCGGTTCGCCAGCTGATAGGGCACATGCCACTACACCAGACTCTGTTTAGAAGCTCCAGTAACGCTATCTTGACGCATACAGGCAGACGTCGGAGCATCGGATACCCTACCGAATCAGGACCTGTAGAGACACTACGTCCTTTGTCCAGTACCCACAGAAGCTCTTCCAGGGTGAAGTCCGAATTATAGATGTCGTTGGTGTTTGGAAGAGAGCCCACGCGATCCCGTTCCTCTCTTTCCTTCGCTGCTTGGAACAGTGGGGGATAGCTTGAGGTTGCCGATCTCTCGCAGAAGTGCTTCGCCAGTTCTTCTGCTACCGCTTACCTCTCCCTCATCGTCTGCCACATTTCTGCCGTTGTGCTGCTCGGAGATATTTTAACGACAAAGTCCTCCCATGAACGTTCTTTGGCTTGCTTCACTGCCTTCTTAGCCGCTGCCTTCGCTTTCTGGAACTGCTCCAAAACATCCGCCGTGTCTAATCCTGCTTCTCTGCTGCGCTTCAATGCTCTCAGAAGTTTTCGGCGCTGCTTAATCGCCGTTTTCACTTCCACCATGGTACCGATTTGGGACCAACTCGTCCTGATGTTCGAGGGATGCTTGCTGTTGCTGCTGATAATACCAGATCGACGAACTTATCAGTGCCAAGCTCGTCGTCTGATTTGATGCTGCGGGAAGTCAACCGTTCGAACGATGTCCAATCCGCTTGGTCGTAGAGCCATCTTCTCCGCTTCGTTGTAACCTGTGAGTATTCAGGTGAAGAGACGGTGATCGGAAAGTGGTCGCTGCTGTGGGTGTCTGGAAGAGTTCGCCAGATAAATCTGGGAGCTAGCACCTCCGAACAGATCGAGATATCTATAGCTGAAGATGAACCAGTTGCAGGGTCCATTCGTGTGTGCGATCCGTCGTTCAAGATCATCAGCTGCTTAGTTAGCGTTTTCTCGGCGATGTAGCGGCCGAGTGCATTTGACATCGTGGATCTCCAGGCGGGATGGTGTGCATTGAAGTCGGCAAGTAGCAGCAGTGGCGCTGGCAGTCGATCGAAAAAGTCAGTTTTCAACGAAAGGAATGAACAGTCCGCTTACGTCAGCTGGCCGTGTCGGTTTTAAAAAGGATGAAGTAACAGTTCGATTGGATTTCCGGGGGGAAATGTTCATTAAAATAGAAGACTTTCAAAATGATATCAAATTATGTTTCTGAAATCGTTATGATAACATATTTTGATATGCTATTTTTTTAATTTCAGTTGAATGCATATTTTGATATTAGTTCTATATTTCTAAAAAATATAATTTAAAACAAAACTAAAGAAAAAGTGAACCTGCAGCCAGATGTTGTACAGAACCTAATGAGCGGAGTTAAGCGAAAGGTGCGAGCGTACGGTTATGGCATTGAAGTTGAATGAAATAAATATGCCAAAAGCTTACTAATGGGTTATATTTTATTGTCTGAAAGTTTGAAAAGGATCGGTCAACTAGGTAATTTTCTACAGCGTTTTTTCCATGATTTAATTAGATGTGGGACACCCTTTAATATTCTAGTGATATACCCATCACTCAAATGACTTCCAAAAGACGCTCACACTGATGAAAAGAAACGAGCAAACAGTTTGCACTTCGTTAACACCTAATTTTACTTCGATCGATCAACACTCGGCGCATCTCATTAACCCATGCATTGCCATCGTCATCAGCATCATCATTGACATCGGTGCACGTCTTCCGGGTTGACGAGGGAACGGACTTCGGAAGCTGTTTGCTTGCAAATCAGGTTAATGACAAGACGCGTTAAAATCCACTTCACACCATCAGGCCGAAAGAAGTGCATCTCATCGACACTTCCTCGGCACGCAGCTATATGTACAACACCCTGGCATCGGTGCCAGCGACGGAGTGAAGGAGGAAAAAATACGAACTCACGAAACTCTAGCTCATTATCTCGATTATTCCTATTAAAAACTTTAATGGCACATAATTACCACCCGCCATATCGTCGCGAGTCAACTGTTGACGGGTTGGCGCTTTCATGTCCCGCACCACAAGGCACTAAGGGACGGTTCCAGGTTCTGAAAATTGTCTACCAAGCGAGATCGTTACGGTTTGATTCCTGCTGGCTGGCTCCGAGCCTCATTCGGAACGAACTTTGCGCCATGAGTTGCACATGTTGTTGATGCTGCTAATCTGTTCCCTTGACTTGGGACACGAAGAAGAGCTACCGTTTCACCATGTGTGGGCAGGGCGGACGGCGAAAGCGAGAGAAGCATCGAGGCGTTAATCCGTACACCCAGCTTCAACGGAAGCGCTATCACCCTGTCACACTTTGATGGCCTAGCAAGCGTGAGTGTCACCGGATCCGGGTCAGGGTTCTCAGCAGACAACATTGGTGGCGACCGTTTTTATTACCAAGAAATGAAATTCTGCTCCAACCTAAATACGTTACTGCTAAGTTCAAAAATATACGCGAACGGAACAAGATTCACACTTTGACTGTGTCAACACAGACGACAGCTCCTGTTGGGAGAACACTTGGCAGAACCAAGTCTCGCTTGCTCTTGTAGGGGGTAGTGTAGACCTGGAAAAGCTGGAAGCTACGATTGAAGGGTCGTAGAGAGGTGCAAGGCGTCAAGTTTTTCGCCACTCGATGGAGTAAAAGTGTCGTTCTTGAATGTGTGAAAAATCTCGCGTTTGAAAAGTTGGCAGGAGTTGGCGAAAGGGAAAAATCGATTCTCCCGAGCTGGCAAGATTTCACCTCTCGCCACGGACGGGTGACAAAGTCCCAGCAATGCGTAATTAAACAACGTTAATCAGCACAAAAAAAAAGTTTCAATTGATTAAGATCAACGCCTCGAAAATTGTCCCTAGCATAAATGTGACTTTTGTCGCATTCAACTGTGAAGAAAGACTAATTTCAACGCCTTTTTTCTTCCTCTCCTTACAGGTACCTACCTCCTCGAGTCGGCACAGTTGGATGGAAATGGCTTTCGTTGTTCTTCGGCGCTGACTTCATCTAGTGCGTTAAAATTCGCTTTTGTCGTGACGGCGAGTATGACGGGAGTAGAGTTTATGGGATGGGAATAAAAAGGCCTGACGTGCAAATTATTGCTTCATTTTCGTGAGCGCTTATCGGACAGGAATCGCGCGGTGCGTGGCCAGGTGTGGGGAGGTAATTTGGTGAAAACGAAAATTACACACAATTTTTCCATCGTCATCACCATCACCTCTCAGGGACAAGTGATGATCGTTACTGTTTTGTTGGCTTTTTGTGGGTCAATGGTTAGAATGGTTTGTTTTTACGGTGGTAGCTCTTTTTTGCCGAAGCATGAATGATGATTCAGTCACTAAAATTTAGGTAGGTTTTTCGTGGGTCCACTTTGCTTCATTTCTCGATGATGCGATAGTAATCGGCGGTGGTATTGTTGGGCCTTCGTCAAGAAATTGCGTGAGGGGATAATGTGAAAATTAGTGAACGATAAAGTGCCGACAAATGTTCAGGTTTAATAGAAATGGTATTCATTTGTGAACAATGGGTACATTCGTATTTGTGAAATGTACATTGAAGGCTTTTTGTTATCTTAAGATTGATCCTGAATGGCCAATGTTCTCAAAAGATGCAGAAGCTATAATCAAATTTGGTTTCAAACACACGGGTTTCATTGCTGAAAGCACTGAAAATATTTTCAGCGTACAGAAAGTCATGTGTTCAAACCCATGTTGAAAAATATCACATAGTTTGATGGCTATGAAAATATGTCAACATTTACCAGCTATGGTCCGGCGCTTAAATAGAACAGGCATTTCCATAACACTGCGGACAGGTGATACGTGCGGTGCTTTCAGTGTGTAAACATCGTTAAATCCTGCCGTATTGCGTCTTATAAATACTTATACAACAAATGCTTCGAAATGTGGTTCGAAAGCTACATTGGTCATCTAGTACACGATGCCACAATTGATGCCATCTTGAAGTACACAACAGTCCAATGCTGAGGTAATGGTTCGAAAAATCTTCAAGCATCGGTGCATATCGATGATCTTGTTCAGAAATCCTAAACGATCTAATTTATCGATTTCTACACTGAAAAAAGTGTTCACATAGTTTCTATTAGGAACGCAAATAATATTTTTCCAATAATAAAATTAGCTGAAACGTAGGGACAACTTATAACAAATTAATTTATTCTGATGAGTGATTGCCAGACTGCCGAACCTGAATATTGCATTTATCTAAACATATAGCCCACCCAAGTAACAATTCAGTAACCATTTAGAATCCACTCTGATGTATGATGGTTTTGTAACGGAAATGAACAATCCATTTAGTTTAAATATAGCATTTCAAAGTGTAATACATTCCTGCTTAGTAATTCAGCTTTTTGCTATTTTAAAAACCTTTTATAGTCTGGCAAGAAAGTCAAAAACTGTCTTGTTTTAAAAATAAATTGAAAACAGTTATCAATCCCTCTTTAAAACTGTTCTGAAATTCAAGCATAAACGTCATAAACAATTGCTTATTAATGCCTAGATAAAATACTTATAAAAGCAACCATAAAACCATATTTTTTCATTGTTGCTGTTCAAGGTTTTAATAGTGCAATTACTCTGTTTACAAATTGAGCTTAAAAGATGGTTCCTCATAGTTAATAAATGCCAAATTTATGACAAGGAAATCTCGAAGGATAGACGAAGTAGGATGAAAAATTCAAGCCGATTACAGCAAAATTTAGTTCTCTAGAAGAACCAGCACACCATCAACGACTGACTATCTGATGGAGAAGAGCAAAATGAGCGGGGCCCTCGAAAGTTTAAAAAACATACCAGCCTTCTCCAAATCTTACGAAAAGATGACAACCGACAGCAAACCACTGAAACTGTTAGTTAGCGGAGATTTGCTGGCTTCCGATCCATAGCAGCGATTTTATTCGGCGAAAGAATCAACTCTTCGAAAATTTCATTCAAGCGTTCATCCCTGCATCGTTTGATGGTGCACTTCTGTAACCATCCTGAAGAACGGGATCTTTTTCGGGAACTGTCTGAGTAACTGCTCCCAATCTATCGAGAGAAAACTACCTGGAAGAACCCTGCATCCAACAGCGCAACTATCAAAAGATAAACAAACTTTGACGTTTAACTTTTTGCAGGCAACTTTGCCTCCATAAATGCTGCCATAAATCTGAACGGGTTAGGATCAAGGCAAAAGGGCTTTGGATAAATACACTTAATGAGAACTATTGTAATAAATTTGGATATTCAACAAGATTTTTATACCATCAGTTTCTATTTTAATTATTTTGATAAGATCGGATTTATAAATCCTTTTCTATCGGCTAGGGGAAATGGCTCGGAAAGGGTTTTTACTGTTGCTAAATAGCTTTTATTGAAGCTTTCAAATGGTTCTCAATGCGTTCGTTATACAACCTTTTGCAGTATATCAATCTTGAAGAGCTTCGAGAATACACCCTTCAGAACCTTCTCCAGGGTGGGCCATCTAGACATATTCTAGTCTTAATGAGGTTTTGGTGGATGCATTAATGACAAAATAGCCTTGACCAGGGTTTTAT